ATGAGGGCATGTCCCGCTGAGCCCACAAGCCTGGGGGAGAGGACAGTCCCTAAGCACTGCCCACACTTCCTCAGGGACACCCAGAGGAGTCATCACACAGCGTGCAAATCTGGGAAAGAAAAACTTTGCTCAACACTCCCAGAGCTTTTTTCTAAGTCCGACCCAGTGGGGCTAGTGACAGCCCCAAGCCCTGACTCCCTAAAGGGAACGACCATCACACCAGAAAACAATGTTATATTCTGGAGCAGGCTGGCTTCCTTATTTACGTTCAATTGTGCTCAATTCCGAGGCGGCTGCAGAGGGGCATGGAGGCAGGAACACTGTCCAGCGTCCTCGGCTATCTCCTGAAACCGCCCACCAGTACAAGCCACGGCTGCAATGGAAGCCGAGGTGCCCAGGGTATGGCAGCCTTCCCCCCACCTCCGCCCCCCGCGAGCGCCCCCCACCACCCCTGCCAATTCCCGCGCGCCCCGGCGCTTACGACTGTCCGTACCCGGCTGCCGCTCGGCTCGACTCCCGCTGCGGGCCTCGTTACCCCTGGGTGCTGGCTCCACGCGCAGACCCCGCCCAGCCCCGCCCACGCGGCCCGAGGGCAGAAACAAAGCCGAACGTATCTTAATAGCAGAGCTCGGCTGAGTCGGGAACGGGACCTGAAGCGGAAGCTCTTCCCCTGCTTCTCCGCCTCCACTTCTGGCTCTCGCACAGGCCCGAGACCCCAGCAAACGCGTCCTCCTCGGAGTCCTGCGAGCGCTGGGGTCGCGCCAGCCGAGCCTCCGCAGCTCTCCCCGCGGCCGCCGCGCTTTCTCCAGGCGGGCTCCGGGGATGCGAAGGCGCCCGGCGCTGAACTCTCGTAACCCTACCCCGCCCACTGCCATCACTCCCCCGCCTCCTCACACCCCCAACCCCTCTCCAGTGTGCTCAGAGGTGCAGCTCTTCCCACAACCGATTCTAGCCTCTCAAGCCAGACACAGTCAGGCCATACATCAAAATAAGGCTCACCCCCTCGGCCCGGACCTGGCTGCTCACCCTAGCCCAAGAACTCTCCATTTCAACGGAGACCTCTTCAGGCCAGCAAACCCACTCCGCTCACTCCCCCATCCGAGTCTGTGCTCACGCTGAACAGGACACCGTCCCCCGCCCGCCGGTCCTAGTTCTACACCCTCCAGAAAAAGCCGCCCCTCACCGCACAGCCTCTGGCATTTCTGTACTCCCTCAAAACTTGCATTTCCCCCAAATCTCAAACAGAAGCTCTGTCTCTAGCCATTTCACCAAGGGGTTCAAATTTGTTATCCTTCATACAGCAGTAGTGGTGAACATAAATGGTAGTGTTATCACCACCAATCCGCGAATACACTAAAAATTACAGAGGTGTGCGCTTTAAAAGGGCAAACTTTATGTAAATGTATTTGTGAAGCTGTTACTTTTATAGATAACTGCAGTGAGATTGTAACCTCCTCACTCGCGGTTGGATTGCCCATCAAGCATTAGATTATGAAATCTGATAGTGCAGGATGTTTCAAAGTACAATGTACCCCTATGCAGTCAATAAGAAAGTCAGAGTCCAACTCAGCAGGGCAAAATGTAGGTAGTATCAACTGCTTTTAGTCCAAAGCCAATTAAAGTTTTGTGGAGCAAAATAATGGGTTTAATGTGATCTCTAGAATAAAGAATATATTTAAAAAAAAATCGGAACATACGTTGTTCTACAAACTTCTGGGGAGCTTCCAGGTACATCAGATGGAATGAAAACCATGGTGGAGGGCAATTTTAGATAAAAATTATAGACCAATTCCTAATTCACCAGAAACTGCCAAATTCTTATTTTTATACCAAAAATGTACAATGTGAAGCTAATTATAGGGAAATAGCAGACAAACCCCAAATTAAATATTACACACAACAGCAGGCCTGTAATCCTCAAACATTTCTAATATCACAAAAATGATGTCCTGAAAGACAGAGAAACTTCCTGATTAAAGGGGATGAAAGGGTCATGAGAATGTGGACCCTGGACCAGAAAGTGTCTATAAAGAAATAATAGGATTACATTAATGTTAAATATCTTATTTTCGAGAACTGATTTTTTTCTAAGTGAGTATCCTTGATCTTAGAAAACACACTTTAGTATATACATGGGAGGTATTATAAGGCAATGCAGCAAAATGTTAATGAGTACTGGGTAGAGTATAGTTCTTTGTACTATTTTACAACTAAGTTTGAAATTATTTTGAAATAAAAAGTTCAAAGAGCTATGGTTCAAACATACATTTATCTTAGCTCACTGAAAACATCATGAAAATAACTAGAGATGAAAAAATGCTACCCATTCCACAAGAACAGTGACTGGGAAAAAGAATAGTAGAAATGTCGGCAATTTTTTTTTTCTAGATGGAAGGTTGGGTGATTAAGCAGAACAGATAAAGCTAAGACCCTTTTACAATCAGAAGCAAGCTGGGTGAGTACACTATAGCCAATGGGCCACTTCACCCATAACCTGTTTTTTTATAAAGTTTTCTTGGAACAAAGTCACTTTGTCTATGGCTGCTGAAAGCCTAAAATATTACTTGGCCCTTTACAGAGTTTGTCAACCCCTGCTTTAGAAGCCAGCAGTCTTAGGAGCTACAGGTTATCAGGAATCTCTGAAGGAAGGGATATGGGTGGATGTACAAAGTATAATCTTCCCTACACCCTAAATGTGCCTGTATGTTCATGATGATACTATGCCAAGAATGCAAGGGCAGACTCAATAATGGGGTGTTACTGCTTGCTGAGTGAGTATAGAGTGATGGCTGCACAATATGAATGTATTTGATAGCACTTATATACACACTTAAAAATGGTTGAGATGGTAAATCTTATGTTACATGTATTTTTATCACATTAAAAAAAAGTAATAAAGGTAAAAAAAAACCCAGGAGGATTCAAGTCTGTATTAGAAGTTACAGTCCCTGTCCCCTGCTCTCACTTCCCACCAGTGACTAGCTCTCCCTCATCCTAACAGACCAGGAGTGTATTTTCTGTACACTTAACTGAGGCCTCCAACTCGTGGGCACCAGGCACAAGGAGGACAGGGATGAGGTGCCTGGCTGAAGGCAGTAAAACCAAGCGAAGTCTTCACTGAGTTGCTCTGCAACCCCTTCCCACTCTCCACTCACAAAACACTGCCTCCAGGTAATAACACCCCCCAGCGGGCTGTCTGAAATAAATGTGCAGCCCTGAGAAAAGGGCCACATATAATGCCGTTTAGGGGAACAGGTGGGCAGGCCCCCATCTAACTATCTTCTATCAAGTCAACAAGGCTGTGGCCCCCCAGACAATCAGAACTTGCAACTAGTGTTTTAGTGTCTCACTCCTAAAGAGTAAAGATCACATACTTGGGGAAGACTCAGACATGAAAGGCATAGAGAGGTATGCTCACAGGCAACTACATGGTCAGAGACAAGATGTGAACTGCATCTATGACACAGGAACTGGAGGCAACTTAAAAAGTCAGAGAATTAGAAAACCCTTAAAAAAACAATCGGAACAGAAAGGTCAGAAGAGACTTGAGGAATACTCCCAGCAAAACAGAACATGAATCAGAGACAGTGAAGGGGAAAAAAGGGAAAAATCAGATCAATCTAGGAAGTCACCCAACTAACATGAGTCCCCTGAGAAAAGAGAAGAGAGAGGGAAGGATATTATTAAAGCGGTAATCCAAGAATATTTCCCAAACCAAAGGACAGGAGTCTCAGAATGAAAAGACACAATAAAACACCAAGACCACACCAACGCAAGTCACTGTGAAATCTCAGAACACCAAGGGAAAAGGTTAAGAGCCTACTAAAGCCTTCGAAAGGAAACAAAAGACAAAAATACGTCAACACAAAGACTGAATCATTGAAATGTCATCAGCCTTCTTAGCAGTAACACTGGCTACCAAAAAATTGTAAAGCCTTCAAAGGTTGTGGGGAAATTATTTCCAGCAAAGAATTTTATAATGAAGTGAAAAAAAATTAAAGACATTTTCACACATACAAAGATTAAAAACATTTTTACTTCTCTTGAGATATTACTGCTCCAGAAAACAAGGGAGTAAAATATGAAAGTGGAAGACATGGTGTTTGGGAAGCAGAGGGTCCAACAGAGAGGCGGCATCAGGAGCCCCACACTGAGAACTGTGCAGCTCAGAGAGCAACCTGAGGTGAGAAGAGGGAGACAGAGGGCATGGGAGGAAGATCTCCAGGGAAAACATGGAATTAATACAGTAATTGATATGTTAAGCTTTTGAAAAATAATGTGAATAGACATTTGTCAGATCTGCTAGCCTATTGGGAAAAAAATTAAGGAAATGAACATAGAAAAATTAGCAAAGGAAAATTGTATAGCTACAGGAAAAACAAAGTTGTTTGAAGAAGGAAATGTAACCACAGTACACTGTTTGGCTCTGTAGTGAACAATACTTATATAGTCATAATTATGTAAACGCTATTGATTTAACAAAAAGTTATTACTGCTATATTGGAAGGATGCAGTGGGAGCAATAGGGGTGGTGTAAACTTATATCTTCATCTACTATAGAGAAAATAGACTGTCTAAAATGGACAGCCCTAGAAATCTGCATTGTATTATTCAGATACACAAAAATGCCAAAAGATTTGAATGTGGAATGGGGAAAATGGAGGACAGAGGAGTGCTGTACTTTATTCTAAGACTGGATTATTTTTTTAAAAACCATGTACATGAATACAAATACAAATTAATCTAAAAATATTGTTTTCTGAGGTCATCAGACATTCCAGATTCCTTGCTTTCTCTAGATTCTAAAGTGTGTCTTGTGTGCTTTTAAATTCCAGGCTCAGATCAATTCCAATTAACTGCTGTTTCTTTCTCCTCCTCACCTGAAGCTTTTTCTTCACTCTCATTCACCACAGGGCACCTGGTCCCGCACAACCTGCTGTCCAGACCCTCCCCGCACTTACCAATAAACGCCTTTCTAAGGCTACAGTTACCCTGAATACCTTTACCACTGTGTCTGCATCCAGGGCCAAGCAGATGGAGGACAGAGCAAAAATGCAATGGGGGTGCTTCCAACATCTTGGAAAGACAGCTGTACTGGAAAGGAAGGGTCACCTTCCAGAGCTTTGGCTCCTGCAGCTTCCCACTGCCAGTAGTTGATGCTATCACCACCACAGGATTGTTTGGGGACGGCACGGTCCAAGAGAACACAGAAAAGGGAAACAAAACAAAAAGATTTCCACACTGTTGAGTTATCCTTCCTCAGGCCAGACTGAGAACACTTCTGGAACTGTCTGTGCCCCAAGACTCACTTTCCAGGTTTCCAATGTGTTGAGTTCAGGCAAGGGGAGAAACTGAGACTCATCACTGATCCGGTGGTGGTCTTCACCAATCCCTCTGGTGGTGTCAGGGCTCTCACACGGTGCTCCATGCAGTCACAGCTATGCCCAGCTCAAGAGCCACGGTGGCAGGTGCTTACTCCATCTTACCTGGAAGCTGCCTGACAAGTACTTTTCACGTACAAAAGAGAAATGAAATATTCTGACTTTCTTTACATTATCATAAATTATAACTGCAGTACAAGAGGAGTATTTCCCATATTTTTTTAACAAGAAATAACACTAAATACTATGAAACTGCCAATATGGCAACAGGCATTTTTCCTGGAAGAACAAAAATAGGGGTGTAATAAGTATTACATATGGATTTGGTTTTGCTACATTTTTAGTAGGCAGAGAGGACCTCTTACTGTTACTGGGCAATTTGCTTTCCATTTCACTCATTTTGAACTAGTGTTATATGATACTGACAAGACTATTCCCATCATTGGCTGTTAATGTTAGACTTTCCTTAGGGGAACAGAAGACACCAACTATAAAGCACTGCCAACACTGCTGCTTATCAGTAACTTAAAGGTATGACTAAGAGGTTCTATATTTCTAAGACAAAAAGTTGGCAGGTTAGGTACCCCAGATGGGAGAAACAAACCCTTTAAAATAGAGAATATATGTAGCATTACAACAATGTTTAATGTGCTCCAAGGACAGTGGGTCTTTATAAAAGAACAAGTTATTTGAACTGCTAACTATATCTAGAATATCGATTACTACTATGGTAGCTTCTTTTGTATTACATTAGAGTCAGCAGTATTTTATCAAATATATCACAATTTGTTAAAAATTAATCCATGGAAGTGTGATTACAGTATCCAGAAATACTTCCTGATAAGAGAAAAAAATCAGAGCATACAGCACTGCAATCTTCAGATTATACTATGATTCAGTGTTTTATTTATATATTGTTTTAAAGAGATTCGATACTTTTACCACCAACTAGTTCTCTTAGTAGTTTTACTTTGTGCAGACACAAACAAATACAAATTTTAGAATTAGAGTTCAATTTCTCCCCACAAAAAGATACTCTCCAGGGGGGCAAATCTCAATTTGCTTGCCAACTGCCAAAAAAAAGGAATTTAATAATAGACATGGCTCAGCAAAAAAAGCAGACATTACCTACAATAATTTAATTAAAACTATGAAAACATGAGGTGGCTACTTATACCCTTTACCCTGAAAAACCAACACTCATAACAATACTAGCAATAATAACAGCTACAATTTATTGACCTTTACTACATTCCCGGGATTGTGCTAAGGGCTTAAAATAAATCACATCATTTAACTCTCCTAAAGTCCTCTGAGTACTATTGTTAGCCCAATCTCCAGAGAAGAGAATGGAAGCTTAGAGAAGTATCTTGTCTAAAATGACAGAGTTAGGAAGCAGTAGACAAGACTACAGCCCAGGCAGTCCGCCTTGGAACCTCTGTTCTTAATGACTCTACTGTAAGTTATAAGAACTCAAAGAACTCAAATACCAGTCCTTCCCTTCCAGGTTATCTTTATAAAGTAGTGTTAAAAAGTGGAAGATGTAAATGAGAAAGAAAAAGGCCAAAAAATGCCCCAGTAATCCCATTAATTCTGGGGGGAATAAACTCCAAACCAAAAAAACCCTTACATTATTGGATATTACTTTCCTTAATCAAGAAAACAATTTTGCCATCAACATACAGTCCAGAGAAAGTCCTCTAATAAAAAAGTACTGAGGAACAAAATAGACAGTGAAATTACTTCCATCACTTTACAATAACCGAATACAGTACATCCGGTCAAGAAGTCAGTAACTCTTGAGAAGTTAAAAACCTTAAGAGAAATAATATATATTCATTTAATATTTTACTTACAGACCTCTCTGAAACATGCCAAAATTCATATGGCTCATGGAACTTTGCTCAACACAAGAGATTCCTAACAAAAAATATATTAATGTAGGAATCAAGATGTGACCATTATATTTAGGTATATAATTCAGGTTCCAAATATATGGTGAGTATCACGTAATGTCATACTTCTGGTTTAATGGAAAACGTAACATTTGTGACAGTTATGCTTAACAATGGTTAAGTAAACAGGGAAATGGACAAGGTACCACTGAGGTATGCAAAGATTTAACAGTTCAAATAATCAGCCTTTCTGAGAAAATATTAATGGGAAATATGAGACAAATATTTCTGTAGATGGTAGTTTCAGCCCATGAATGATTATTCTCTTCATGCATTTAAAGTAACTTTAGTTGTTTGTGAGCACTAAAAACCAGATTCAAACTAAGTCTTTGCTCAACAAGGTAACGAAACTACAATTCCTTATATTAAAAAACAGTTTGAATTTGGAAAGTTTAAGTTTTCATAATTACTTTTAGATATAATTGAGACTATATTACCACAGATCATTAGTTATACTGCTGTGCACAGTCGATTCCAGTTACCATATTTATATTTGTTGGTCACCAATAGCACAAATTTTATGGTCCAAAAGAAATATATCAACCCAGCAAAATGGTTACATTCAATTTTCTTTTAAGGAAAGATTAAGTAAATTTAGGAATAATTGGCTTTTCTTGGTCTCATTTTCAAATTACTGATACAAATTTACCAGAGAATAATTATGTATTTTTTGCGTAACATCAAATAATCAGCAAAAAGTTTCCAAGATAGCTGCATTTCTTGTTCAATGTCCAAAAATAAATAAAGGCTTTCTGACTGAAAGCATTTACATTCCTAGTTCTCTAAAGTAAACATTAAAAAGCAAAGTACACAAGATGACCTCTAGGCTTTTAAACAGCCCACTTAGTTACATAAAGTATTCTCTGTTCCAACACTTCCTCATACTCAAAAGATATTTATTTCCTAAGAACATGACAGTCTTCATTTCAAACCATTCAGTCCGTTTCCATGGCAACACTGCGGGATTCCTTGGCTACCATAAGTCGCATTAGTTGACTGTGGAATTTCTCAATCTTCTTTACATCTTGAGCTTGGTCTGTTCTATACACCAAACACTGTCAGGAATTTTAAAAGTACACATTAACTATGCAATGTAGCAAATGTTTGATTGGGTAACAATCTGAGTGTCTTTCCTACCACTGTTTTTCTTTATTCTCTCTGGAGGGCATACTAAGGAAATTACACTGAAGTTCCAAGGCCCAGCAATTACATTCCTGAAGTAAAGGTATTTTACAGTATTTTAAATGCCACTGTTCTGTATAAAAACTAAATGAACTCTACAAGAAGCTTCTCAAAAATGACCAGTTCATATGGCAGCAGATTCTGCTATTGGGTCTGATCAGAACTCGAGGGTTGGAATTAAATATTTTCTCCCTGGGATCTGCTCATAAATAAGAGTTATATTGGAAAAAGCAGGGAAATCTTAAGATCCTTTTTCCTACTTGTGAAATTGGGGGATTTGGGGTAATAATTTTTTTAAAAGACCTAAAATCCCCTGCTTACAGCCAGCCACTACCTAAATTAAACCAGATACATCTGTCCAACCTTGATTTTCCTAAGGTAATCATAATTTTTAAACCAAATTCTTCCTTGCTATAAGTTAAAATCTTCATTAGACAGATACTTAAGATCTGTTTAGTTGACCAGAAAACCACTTGTTCCAGATGTTCAAAAATAAATTTAAGCAGGCAGCCCTTTTCCTCACTTTGTAATATTGATCCATTTTTCTTCAGCCCATCTTAAAGGTTCACATGAGTTTTATTTAATGGACCTGCAATCATATTATTCATCAGCTTCAGTAATTTGGAGCTCAACGTCATCTTCCCCAACTGGTCTGCATTCATTCAGCGTTGAAATCACTTAATAAACTTTTATCCACACATTGTACAAACTTGTGAAACAGTCTTCTAAAGAGGCCATAATAATCTCCATCATTTCAATTTTAGTGTATGTGCTATGCAAGAATGTATATACCTTTTACAAACTACAGTTCGACAGAAAAGATTTTAGGTCCATAGAAGACACTATTATAAACCAGTCATGGGATTGGAAAAAATGATGCATAAATGGGATTACAAAAAAGTTAAAGTCACATGATGAAAATAATAAATGAAGTTTAAGACTGGGTTTTCTCTAAGAATTATTAGCTATCAAAATGAATTAGTGAGGGAAGTGTACAAACTTTCCTTTAAAAGTCATTAGAAAATAGATGTTTACTGTTGGAGTTGATCGATATATTTACTATTTAGAAGGATGAGTCTGATCACATCTTTGGTCCCCTTTAGATATGAGCTAACTCTCAGTAGTTTTAAGAAAGAGAATAAAAAACATTTTTCATATTTAGATCTCGTCACAAGAATCATCAATGCTAAAGAGCATTCTTCCCAATATTGCTTACCATGGATCCTTAACTACGTTTTATCATTACCAAAGGCAAGAAGTCATCATCTGGAGAACAAAGCCTTTCACATTAAAGCCAATTCTGCATTTTTCCTATTTTTAAAACATACCAGTTTCTCTTTAGCACATACAGCTACGCATTTTGTGATCACAATTAAAACTTGTCTCAATGTGAATGTTCAACATTCAAGTACACATTTACTGAATCAAAGTGGCAAGCACTAATGCTAGGAACTGTCACATGCTTTACTTTCCACAACAACCCAATAGGTGAGCAGCTATCACTATGGCACTTTACAGATAAGGAAATTGAGGCCCAGAATGCGAACTTGTCTGAGGCTGAAATGTTAATGCATGGCTAAGCCAGGATTCAAATCTCTTGAATCTAGGCCTACACCTCGATTTAC